GCCAATGGAATAAATCAAATTTCGCGCTGAAGTACTGACGTTGCACTGTCATGACGGAGGAATTTTAATAAAAAAATTCACTAGTTTAACAATGGTTTCATACTTCACTCATGGCAGGTTACCCATGATTGTCTGAATCACACAATTAATGCATCTGATCGTTGTCACGTTGCACAGAATCAATACGCGGATCGTAGGACCAAGAGCGCTGACTGGAACCAGCGGCGTTCGCCAAAACGTCCCACTCTGCGGAAAGGGTATGCAGCAGATCTCGAATACGCAAAACGTATGAATGGAGAATTCCATGTTTATAAAAATGAAAACGTTATATTCAGATATTGTTGTAATTCACTGCTGTAGCCTTAGGAAACATTTGTAGTGTGTCCGTTTTTCCATCATTTGTTGATTTGGAGGGCTACAGTGTAAAGATTATGCGTAAGTAAGTAATAAAATTGCATAGTCTTTATTAACGATTAACTTGATCCATTCATTGGGAACAGAATGCAAGTTGTTCAAACAAGCGACGAATCGATTCTTCCATTTTTCCTGCCCTGCCTGTTTATTTTAGAGCTACGTTATCTCGTCTCTCAATGAGAACGATGTGTTGACCCCGAGACAGGGAAGAAACCAGTACTGTAAATTTGTGCAAATCCAGAGAAATGTTAACACCCTGTTATAGAGCAGGCTAAGATTTACCGCTGATATAATGCTTTATCAGAATTCACTTAACAAATTCCAGTTTCAGAGTTTTAATTGCTTTCGATTCACGGGAGCAGCTGCTTCAATAGTTCTCTAATGTTTTCGGTCCTTCGTGAATTGGGTAAGTTCAATAGTCTGGGTACCAAGGCATTTCATTGCCACATATTTTATTTAATCAATCCACCTAGTCTGTTTTCTCCCTTGGCATTCTTCTCTGTAGCTTTTCCGAGGGAGTACTTCGATCTGCGTAATGACATTTGATGCCTGTACTTTAAGTAACTATAATGTGAATTATTTCGTTTGATGTTTATTCACTTGTTCAAGCACAACTTGCTATTCATAAGTTTACTCAATAGTTAGTGTTTGTTTTGCTTTTCTACCTCAGTACTTTCTTTTGTTCATTTGTATTTAAGGTTGTTGTGTTTTCCAATGGTTGTCAATGTGAAAACGTTTCCTCAAGGTTCAAAAGTGGGTGATTCACTTGAACTTTCCGTCCTTTCACGCAGCTGTGAGTTTGTGGAGCTGCTATTCAGCAAAAGCGCCGACGGCTTGACACAGATCAGTGAACCTGTATCTGCCGAATACACTCCGGTACGTTGCAGCATAAACTTGCATTCAGATAATATTTATCATATGTACTTTGGATAAAGCTTGTTGCGGGTCCTAGGCAGCATTTTTATGTGTTGGCATTTTTCGGTGATTAAGTGTAAAGAGGTCTTTTTTCTATTAAGGTCATGCTTTTTCTTCTAAAAAGCACTGAGTAATTTAAGATTTTACATTGAAGTTCACTATGACAAAGAAGTACGAGCTGAGTGATAGCGCAGAGTTGTGTGCGATCGCCTGTGATCGATTGTGAACGTTGAAAATTGTGAGAAGTTTTGAAAACGCTCAAACCTATCGCGTCTTTGCCCTGACCTGTGAGGAGCTGCATGTCAGAAAATCAACTTTCCGATGGTTTGTGCACAAAGTCAGCATTTCAGTAGAAATTTCTTAGATTAATTCTTTTATAGTACTATGGTTAAGAAATAGGTTCGAGACCAGTTGACTCAAAAATGTTGTACTCCTGACGTTGTTGCAAATGAATTTCTTAAGCTTGTGTAATTTGCGGAAGGAGGACTTGTTTTTTGGAACTCCCAGTTGAAGCTGTTTTCCATGCAGCTGAAAAGTAGAAAGCTATTGGAATGAGTGAATGGCTCATTGTGAAGTAACTGCCGATGTTTTGTAAAAATTAGTTTATATAATTATATGGATTTCAGCTCCTTACGTTCGCACCAGTCGCTCTTGAGTCCTCAGAACGTCCTGCCATTGTAATGAATCTATCGCGTAGCTCCAAGGTAAATTTAGAGCTGGGTATTTCTACACAAATCGAGTCCAAATTTAGGGCAATGTTCTCTTCTTCAAATTCTGTCCATGTTACAGCGAGGTGGACATCACAATGATCGATCGGATTCAAAACTTGCTGTCACCGGAATTCGTGTTTAGCAAATTATATCCATACACGGTATGTATATATGTAGAACTTATTTAATGAAACTTTGGGACAGTAGTTATGCCACTAATTTATTTGTACAAAACTTTCTGAAAACTGAAACGACGCATCAAATGTTTGTTCAGTTTTTATAACCTGCTGACCATAAATCCCCTGACTTGGCTGAGTGTCAAGTGGAACTTTGTTGAGCATAAGTCTACTTATTATTTACTGATGTCGTAATGACGTCATGGGTCTGAGGGTCATTTCATCAGTTCACATGTTCATTGTTTCTTTCTCTGGTCAGCAGGTTTTGATAGACAGTTAATGATATTCATTGTAATACTTTAGAGATTAAAAGATCTATTTGAACTATATGAAGATGAAAGAGAGTCGTCTGGTTGCGTGCAATGCACTTTGAGCTGCCCAGCTTGGACATTCGATATAAGGTGATGTTTTGATTTGCTCCTGTTGTTTCCATTGATCACAATACTGTAATAAATGTTACGGCGCCACTAGTTGTAAATTGAGAACGAGCTTAGGCTTAGATCACTTTCACATTTAGGAAGTTTTTTGAAGGCATACACTACCGTTTATATTGAAAGTTTGCTTATGATTATATGGTCATGTTCATAAACTCAAATAGCCAACTCCAAATGACTTTTTAGGGCTGTTAAACCAGCAGTGAATTAAATTTTATTCAGAATGCAGTGTTTAATGAATATTACTCAAATGTAATAAAATACACTGAGTGTTTTCTTGCGTTTGGTCATATCATCTACATATACAGATATTATTTCGATGGCCAAGTGACGAAGCCCATTTCCAGTGTTCACGGCTGTTATTCCTCTCTCGAATGCCCTTGCTTCGCACTGTTTGCGGATCCGGTCGATAGTAGTCACAGTCACACAAAGAAATCTCTTAGTTTCCGCCACTTGAAAAAATGGTGTATGTTCCTGGCGTGGGTCGGGCGAGTTCTGTTCAGGCTCCCACTGTTTTTGGGCTATGTGGAAGTCCGGAAACCTTCTGATCAAGTCGTCAATTAGGTGATTATTTGGAACGTTGGAGTTTCGCAAAGGTTTTCTCTACTCGTAATTGACTTCAAAAGACGATGCCGAAATATCGTGGATGGTTCGCCATAATGGTTTGTACTCAAGGCTGATAACGAGGCAATGTTGCTGACAAAGAGGCGAGTTTTGTAATTAAACGGCTTCTTCAGTAAGTGTAGCGTCATTAACTCTCGGGTTCGATGTGCTACTTCTTTTGCACAATGGCCTTCAGCAGTTTCGAAGTCTGAAAATCGTATAGGGTTTGATGAGAAATTACAGACACGCGTATGCTGTACATAAGATCCAGCATAATGCTGAGTTCATGACAAGAAAGAATCAAGACTACCTGAATTGCCTATAACATGTATTAAAATCTGTCGAAAACCGCTCACAGTACGTCAGTAAAATTTTTTATATATAATAGTTATTCGTCCAGGTCTCTATACATACCACAGCAGTGTGGATTCTTTCGAGAAGGAAACCGTCGTGCTTGACGTGAATGCTCTTGATAACTAACGCAAAATGTTCGGCTTCAGTTCGGCGGGTAAGATCATAAATGCTCAATTACTCGAAGATGTTAGAATAAGCACAAGTGGAATATATCGACCAGGAGCTTGTTTCAACTTTCTCTCTAATGCATTAAGAAAAT